AAAAGATATGAAGGAACTTAAGATGTGGCTGAATTGCTGAAATCTCATGCTAAAATTTTAACAAATGAGAACTTGGATGAGCAAAGAAAGTGGTTTCTCGAGCTGGGACCTACTCCAGGTGTAGATGCTGTGCAACCTAGAGTATTTAGAAAATTGCATAAACTTAGTGGATAAAGCAGTGGCAGGGTTTGAGAGAATTGTCTCTGATTTGAAGGAAGTTCTACTGTGGGTAAAATGCTACCAAACAGCATTGCATGCTACAGAGGAATCTTGAAAGAAATAGTCAATTGATGCAGCAAACTTCACTGTTGTCTTATTTTAAGAAATTGCCACAGCCACCTCACCTCCAGCAGCTCCCACGTGATCAGTCAGCAGCCACAACACTGAGGCAAGGCCACCGACCAGCAAAAAGAACTTGATGTCGAAGGCTCAGGTGATTGATAGCATGTTTAAACAGTAAAACCATTTTTGACTAAGGCATGTACATTGACTTTTTTGGACATAATGCTATTGCCCATTTAGTAGACTACAGTATAGTATAGACCTAACTTTTATATGCACTGAGAAACCAAAAATTCTGTGTGACTTGCTTTATTGCCATATTTGTTTTATTGCAGAACTGGCCACCAGAATCTTTCCTTCCCCTAGAATGCCTTTCACCTAAGCCACCTGTGTTTTCCCCTCACCCATCATACCCCCCTCATTCTCTGGCCTGCCCTCCACTACTCCAAAGCCTTCATTTCTGCCCCACTGCTGGACTGCACTCTGACTCCATCTCGCTGTGACTCAGTGGCACTTCCACTGGGCACTGCCCCAAAGAGCTCATCTCCACAGTGGCCTGAAACCAAATCCACGGTATCTCTGAGGTATGCCTATAGAGCAGTCTCATAAGTTATTATGCACTTTAAGCATTACCAAGTCCAAAACTGTAAATGCTATACATTTACAGAAATACCACTTGAAGGTTTAACTACTTATCATTCTTTCATAATCAGAATTACAAATTTTGAATATTAATTATTTTAATGGGGGAACAGCTCTGCTCTGCAGCTCCCACTGAGACAAACACGAACAGCGAGGGATTTCTGCATTTCTAACTGACGTATCCGGACTCCCTCACTGGGACTGACCAGGCAGTTGGCGTGAGCCCTGGAGAGCAAGGAAAAGCAGAGTCGGGTGACAGTTCACCCAGGAGCTGCACAGGGCAAAGGGACCTCCCTCCCCCAGCCAAGGGAGGCAGTGAGGAACTGTGCTGCCCGCCCGGGGAACTGTGCTTTTCCCACAGACTTTTGCAAACCCCAGATCAGGTCATCCCTTTGTGAGTCCACACCACCAGGGCCCTGGGTCCCAAGCACAAAGCTGTGCAGACCTATAGTAGGGACTCCAGTCGGCAGCCACTTCCGCAAGGAGCTTTTGTGTGCTCTGGTGGCTCACAGAACTCCAGTGGAGCAGGAGATCCATCACCTCCCACGAGAAGGGGACTGAAGCCAGGGAGCCAAGCAGACCCACTCCCACGGAACCCCACAAGCGAAGACCCACTGGCATGGAATCCCCACTGGCCAGCACAGCATCCTGGAGTCTGCCTAAGAAGACCAAGTTTCTGCTGGGAGGGGTGACCGCCATTATTGTGGGTCTAGTCGGCGGTTTTGCCCTGCCAGTGCTAGGAAGACTGGGTGGTTCGTGCTGGGCAGAATTTCCCACAGTGCAGTACAGTGGCTGTGGCAGATATACCATTATTGTATATCCAAAGGAATGTAAATCATTTCATTACAATGGTACATGCATGTGTGTGTTCATTGCAGCGCTGTTCCCAATAGTAAAGACATGGAATCAACCCAAATGCCCACCAATGATAGACTGGATAAAGAAAATGTGGTACATAGACACCATGGAATACTATGCAGCCATAAAATGGAATGAGATCAAGTCCTTTGCAGGGACATGGATGAAGCTGGAAGCCATTATCCTCAGCAAACTAATGCAGGAACAGAAAACCAAATACCACATGTTCTTACTTATAAGTGGGAGCTGAACAATGAGAACATATGGACACGGGGAGGGGAACAACACACCCTGGCACCTGTTTGGGGAGGGCCGGTGGTAGGGAGAGCATCAGGAAAAATAGCTAATGCATGCTGCTTTTAATACCTAAGTGAGGGGTTGATAGATGCAGCAAACCACCATGGTACACATTTGCCTGTGTAAGAAAACTGCATGTCTTGCACATGTACCCCGAAACTTAAAATAAATACAAAAATAAAATTTTAAAAATAAAAAAAA